CTTCTACTATCTCTAGTCCCCTGTCAAATGAGGCAACTTTAAAAATTTCACTAGAGCCTGATCTATGTTTGGACAGTTTTTGTCCTGTTGAGCTCTGAATTGTCAAAAATAATAACCTCATCCAAACCATCCACATGCCTGCTAGATCCCATCCCAACCAGACTGTTTTAAGAGGTATTTCCCCTAATTAATGTCCACATTTTGGATCTACTTAATTTGTCTTTAATGAATGGTTATGTACCACAGCGCTTTAAGGTTGCTGTAATTAAACCTTTACTTAAAAAGTCTGATCTTGATTCAGAAATTCTGGCCAACTATAGATCTATATCTAATCTAACTTTCATCTCAAAAATTCTAGAGAAAATAGTTGCAGGTCAGTTGTGTGAACATCTACAAATAAATAATCTGTTTGAAGAGTTTCAGTCAGGGTTTAGAGCTTATCATAGCACAGAAACAGCACTAGTAAAAGTAAATAATATCCTCGTGGCCTCAGACAATGGACTTCTGTCTCTACTGGTCCTGTTAGACTTCAGTGCTGCATTTGATACAGTTGATCACAATATTTTAATACAGAGGCTTGAATATGATATTGGGATTACAGGAACAGCTCTAAAATGGTTTAAATCATATCTATCTGATAGATTCCAGTTTGTAAATGTAAATAATAAATCTTCATACACCAAAGTTAGTCATGGAGTTCCTCAGGGCTCAGTGCTTGGGCCCATACTCTTTACTTTATGCTTCTATTAGGTAGTTATTAAACAGCATGGAATAAATTTTCATTGTTATGCTGATGACACACAATTATATTTGTCCATTAAAGCCAATGAATCCAATCAGCTACTTAGACTACAAGCATGTCTTAAAGACATAAAAACCTGGATTACCATTCATTTTCTCCTGTTGAACACAGACAAGACTGAGGTTTTTGTTTTTGGACCTGAGCACCTTAGGAATGAATGTTTCAGTCTTTCTCCCTCCTTAGATGGCATTAATCTGTCCTCCAGCTCAAATGTTAAAAATCTTGGTGTTATTTTTGATCAGGACATGTCTTTTATCCCCCACATTAAAAACGTTACTAGAACCACCTTCTTCCCCCTGCGTAATATCACTAAAATTAGAAACATCTCATCTAAAAATGATGCAGAAAAACTGGTCCATGCATTTGTCACGTCTAGACTGGACTATTGCAATGGTTTATCATTAAAACGTCTTCAGTTGATCCAAAATGCTGCTGCCAGAGTCTTAACTGGAGTTACTGGGAGAGATCATATTTCTCCAGTTTTAGTTTCTCTCCATTGGCTCCCTGTCAAATCCAGAATAGAATTCAAAATATTTCTTCTAACCTACAAGCTCTCAACAACCTGGCTCCATCTTATATTACAGATCTTATTGTTCCATATTTTCCTAACAGAGCACTTCGCTCTCAGACTGCAGGTTTACTTGTGGTTCCTAGAATTGACAAAAACAGAATGGGAGGCAGATCTTTCAGTTATCAGGCTCCTCTCTTGTGGAACTAACTTCCAATCTCTGTCTGTGAGGCTGACACATTATCCAGTTTTAAAACTAGGCTTAACTTTCCTTTTTGCTAAATCCTATTGTTAGGGTCGGCTTGGGTTTCCTGAGCTGTCCCTTGGTGATGCTGCTATAGGCTTAGACTGCTGGAGGACAAACTGACCACAATTTTCACTCTGCTACTGTCTTTACTTACTCTGCTCAACCTGTTTTGTATTTGTAATTATTTTTTCTATCCTTAACATGTGTTTTTGTCTTTCAGATACACCTGGACCTGGACCTATACCTGGACCTACCATTCTATGTTCGTCTGTCTCTCCTTCCTGTCCTCTCAACCAGCCGGTCAAAGCAGATGGCCGCTTGTCCTAAGCCTGGTTCTGCTGGAGGTTTCTTCCTTTTAAAAGGGAGTTTTTCCTTTCCACTGTTGCCACTGTGCTTGCTCAGGATGGGAGACTGCAACAAAGCCAAGATTCAACTTGTCTGCTGGACTCCTTAGATAGAGAAATTTACTAATTGTTTTTTATGTATGTGAATGTTCCTGTAAAGTGCCCTGAGACAACTTTGTTGTGATTTGGCGCTATATAAATAAACTGAATTGAGTTGAATTGAATTTGAATTGTGGAGAGTTGATGAGACTCTCTGAGAAACAACAGCCATATGATGAAAGACGTGTCCAACTGAGAGATGGTGGACATCCTGAACAATCTCAAATAACCTGGAGCTAAAGGTACGAGCCAAACAAACCGCAGCCCTGAGAAACGACATCCTTCTTGGGACAGTGGGCCACCGGCTTCCTTCATGCATCCGCTGTGGTAATCAGAGATGAACATCTTCCTGTAGGGATGGCACCATCTAGTGGGCCTTCCCCCTGTCTGTTCTCCCTTGTGTCTGTATTGATTGTCTGATTATCATCACCTGTGTCTTGTCCTGGTTGCGTGTAGTTAAAGTCTGTCTGTCAGTTCTGTCATTGTCGGTTCGTCGTTGGGTATTGCCTGTCTTGTCCTGCCTGTGTGATCCTGTTTCTTGAGTCCATGTAAGTTTTGCTGCCATGTCAGCCTTTTGATTTATTATTATTATTATTATTATTATTATTAAAAGTATTTTTATTTTATACATCTGCCTCTTGAGTCCTGCCTGCGCAACTGGGTTCTTCTGTCCTGATCTGCCTTGAAAACCCTGACACTTCCTTCTGATGAGAGGACCACTGAACAGTGCCAACTGTTTGTTTGGATAATTTAATTCATGAATTTGAGATAAACTTACTTAAATTTTAATGTTTAGAGCTAGACCTTAGTCCAAACTTAATCAAAACCCCTTCTTAAAGTCCTCAGAGTTATGCCATTTACTTTCTAAAATAATATTATTGGTTCATATTCATATTCAATATTTGCCATAATTTCCATGTCATCATTCAAACTGAAAATAAACATTACAGAACTGTATTTAAATTACAGATTCTTTGTGTTTTCTTCGATGGACATGAATTAAGTTTGTTACAAAAACTCATGGTTTATATATGTTTGAGGCCGGTCCAGAGTAAAACCTGTTAAAGGGTACGGGTTTGACCGGACCAGAAGTCCAATATCCTGTACATGTATTCCCCTACAGAAAATGCCCTGACATGTTTATAAAATCATTTGGTGTGCTGTAATGAGTGGGGGGTCCAGGGTTGGGCTGAATCTTTGAGAGAAGTAACAACATTATCATCAGACATTTTCTTGTGTTTTTTTGTGACAGATGTGTAATTACAGGAGTGTGACAATTAGCCCCCATAATTGAACCACGAGAAAAGAAAAAAAAAAGACATGATTACTCAGAACCCAGAAACAATGAATATTGCAGGGAGAGGCAAATCCAGATGTGTCAACAATGTTCAGTGACTCCAGGAAGTCAGAGCTCTGTAAATGATGGAAATATTGCAACTGATTCAGAAAAGTCTCACACCAGACAGCTTCATAGACCAAGTGGGCTGACAGGTCAGATGTTGTGGCCCAACTGGAGTTTGAATTGGGCTGAGGGGAGCACCCCTATGAAGATGAATCATTCCAGCTGCAGCTGGTGCAGCTGCTCTAATGATGAACAGATGCTGGGTTCAGTACCAACAGGTAGAAGCTGATAATCCACAACAAATACCAAAGCATGGTCCTGACTTGGTTCATGTAAACAGAGGACAACAACGTGATCCTGGAACAAAACCTTCAGCTGACCCGTTCTGAACCGGAGGACCCACACATATCTAAGTTATTATCCAAGTGAGTTTTAGATGGAAGCCCAGAGAACTCCGATGTAAACTCCGGTTTTCTTTCGATCAGCTGCTTCTGCTTCTCGGCGCTGCTCCTCAGCACTTCACAGCACAAGGCTTCCTCCAGGTGAACAATGATGAACTGCTCCTCAGCGCTTCACAGCATGAGGCTTCCTCCAGGCTAAAAACGATGAGAACTGACCCAAGAGAATGAAGTCGTCTTTAGCTCGGTTCTGTTCTGGTCCGATTCCGTCATGCACCACCGCTGCCAACAGCAAACCCCACGGAGGTGGACAGTTCTTCGGTGAAAGGTAATGGGCTGCCCGCTGAAGTTTACCGGCTCTGTTCGGGACGAGTTCCCCTACAGCCCAGCTTGGTTCGGTTTTGGTCCAATTTGGGTCAACTTCTCCCACACCGAATGCAGACTTCCACGAGGAGCCAGTCCAACAGAAAGACAGCAAAATACCACACAGCGATCCTGGTCGGAACTGAGCAGAACCACAAAGGTCCAGATGAAGAGTTCGGTTGGGGTCCGGAGAAAAAAAAAAAAAAAAAAACGCCGGACCTTCGGACAACGACTACCCTACTCAAGGGGCCACCTGGCCGGCAGGCTGCACTCAGAGTGCACTCGGTGTGCACTCGGTGGGGTGGGAGCAGCTGGTCCTGGACCAAAGAAATTTTTCGGACGGTCCTGTCCAGTTCTCCGAGTCACTGAATACCGAATTCAGTTTGAAGAGGGACCAACTTTTAGCACGGCTTGAAAAACGGATGAGTTTGATGCTGAAGGACTGCAGAGAAGCCGGGGGAGCTGCTGTGCATTCATGGAGAGAACATGTAAACTCCACCCAAAGAGGCCCCAGGCTGCTTTCTTCTTGCTATGAGGCAACAGTTGTAACCACTGTGCTGTGGTGGCACCCAGGTCTGCAGCCTTTACAGTCATTCTTTTGCTCAGAAAGTCCCATAAATCCCATAGATTACTGAAAGTCATAATTTCAATTCAATTCCAACTTTATTTCTACAGGTTAGTCTCATTGAGCCTCGATGACTCATTTACAAGGTGTAACCTGTACATGACAACAGCAGACAATCTTAAAAGAAGGCATATAAATTGATAAAAATAAATGGAAGAAAATTATGTAAAAACAGAACAAAAACGCTACATTCAGCTATAGTTCCATAATGAAAAGGCCATGATATTTGACACCTGGAGACATGTTTCTGATAATTTTATTTTCAATCTAACCTGCTGGGGGAAGACAGCCAGATCTGTCTGTTGGGCGTCTGTTTGTTGATGACGTATGTGCCATAAGCCCCGCCCACTTTCACAGTTAATACACCACTCTGCAAACAGAATAAAACACATTTATATTAATTCATCCACAAATCTAAACAAAAAGCTATTTAAGTGTACATCTACTTTCTCAACAGGCGGCTGATTTTGTCGCCTACTCAAGTGTCCGGAACTGTCTTCTTTGACCAACAATTTACAGTAGTCCCTCGTAACTTCACGGTTCGACTTATGTGGATTCGCTTTATCGCAGTTTGAGGAAGTCCAAAATATTGCACATTTTTTACACACAAATGTGGACTGTACAGTAATATCATTGTACAGAACTCGGGGATATGAAAAAGTTGTTTACAAAAAAAAAATAACAATTCAGACAGGCGCCACCATTTTGTAGTTTTCTTTCATTCGGCCTCCAACTTTACTGTAATCGCCACTCAGACGGACTACATTTTCCTCAAATCAATGCTGTGCTGTACTGTAGTGCCTCTGGGCACTGTTTTATGGTGAACAGTATTTTTGCAAAGCAAAGATATGAATGTTGAACCAGCCTTTCAAAAGTAAAATTTAATTCACGTCACATGGAAAAAGTTTTTTTTTTTTAAAGAAAATTAAACTTTACAAAAGTAAGATTCAACTGTAAGTGTAAATCATGTGAGGACATGTCTCTTTAAGAAACATTGCGTTTAGCAACCCAGGCGCTGATTGGATCAGTAACCATCAGCTCTGTTTTCCCGGCCGCTGATTGTCTGTTATAGTAGCAGACGGTCGCTGTTACACTAGTAGCAGGTGGTTTGTTTACCTCGGCTCTTGTTCCAACTGGACAGCTCCCAAAGGTTTTGTGTGTTTAAAAGTTTCTGGTGGTGAACTGAAATGCCAGTGGAAGATGCTGACGATTAAAGAAAAAGTAGAACCTGTGGACAAACTTTAAGATGGCCGTACGTACGCGGATGTTGCTGGCTGCCTATGGCACAATTGTTAAGATGGAAGCTGCATTGGTTGTGTGGATTAATGACTGCAGAAAAAAAACCATCACTTTGGATAAAAACAATTTGGATTAAAAAGTGTTTCTCTGCACAGAGAGGCTGTGTCCGCTGATACAGCAGGAGCGGAGGAGTTTGTTAACATGAGTTCAAAGATGTGATTGCTAAGGGGGGCTACCGTTCTGAACAAATTTTTACTGTGGATGAAATGGGCCTGTTCTGGAAAAGGATGTCGTCTCGCACTTTTATTATGGACGAAGCCACCTTGTTAGACCTCAGTGCTGCATTTGATACATTTGATCACAATATTTTACTACAAAGACTTTAATATAATATTGAAATTACATGAACAGCTCTAAAATGGTTTAAATCATATTTATCTGATAGATTCCAATTTGTAAATAAAAATAATAAATCATCTTCTGTTAGTCATAGAGTTCTTCAGGGTTCAGTGTTTGGACCAATACTCTACTTTATATATGCTTAATATATTTTTATTAGGTAATGTTATTAATTAGCATGGGAAAAATTTTCATTGTTATGTTGATGATGCAAAATTATATTTGTCCATGGACTCCAGTGAATACAATCTGTAACTTCTACAGTTCTCATTTCTAATCTGAACCCGGAGCCTGGCCCAACCCAGATTAGGGCCGGTGTCAGGCTTTTGATTGCGTCAGTGGACGCGCGCGGCTGACGATCCAGTTATATGGCAACGTGGCTTGCCATACATCCACCAGTCGCAAGCGGCCATTTGACCGTGTGCTGATCGGCCTTGAAAGATGTAAAAAAATAAAGTTCAGTTAAGCTTCAGATGGACTACTGCCAGCGATCCATCAAAGCTCAAATGGACATTTATTCAGCCGCTGCACTCAGCGAACGGACGCACACAGCCGACCACCCAAACAGGTGAAATCCCAAAATATTCAACATGTCAGAGTAGGGTCTGTGTCTGAATTAAACAGAATGCAGGCAGAAGCAAGGATTTAATGCACTTTGACAGCCTCGAAAGGACAAACACTTCCTCAGCACCAATCTTCTGCCCCCTTTTATTCAGCCACGCGTGTCCGCCGAGCATCAATAACTATATAGGCAGTAAAAGCTTAATTAAAATGTCTGGGGGGGAGGGGGGGTTCGGGTTCAAACCTGCAATTACTGTTAATTTGTCAGGTCGGGTGGGGTTCGGAAATTATGGCTACGGGCTGGGGCCATGTCGGGTCAGATTTTTTGGGCCCGAATGCAACTCTACTAAAAGCATGTCTTAAAAACACAAAAACATGGATGACCTTGTCAAGTGATGTGCATTTCAGATAATCAGTTCAGGATGTCCATTCTGGAGCGCTGAAGCACTTGGGAGAGTTTTAAAGAACAGTTCATTGACACATTCAGTAACTAAAGGGAACTTGAAGATCCGAAGAGGAAAATAATAATTTAAAAAAATAAAATAATTTTTATCAACTCAGCTCGGACCTGAAAGCAAACTCAAGTTTCCAAGATTGAATTTTATTGAATGCGGTATGAAATATTCTTCAAAAGCAACTAAGGGATGATTGTCACCAGCTTCATCATTCAAGGATCCCCTTTGACAAAGGGTCTTCGAGAAGAGATAGTATGACACATACTAATAGCTGTCCTAAAATAAAATTAAATAATCAAAATAGCTTATAGCTATATACACCAGTAGAATATTAGGACTCTTGACAACATTTTGTTATGGGGATTTACAAGTTACATTAAATTTGGTATTTTTAAAGTCTTAATTACTACATTTTAGGAGAGTTTCCCTATTTTTGCTGCATTATGGGATTCTGAAGATGCCTTTGTATTTTTTGATTTTTCTCCTTTTAGTTTGATGGAGTTTTTGAACACACTTTAGATTTTGACTTTTATTTTTTATTTTTTTTCCAACTAAACAATTTTTTTTAACTTTTTTTAATTTTTCCAACTAAACTTAATTTTTGATATTTCACTCCGGAAGATTCAGGGAACACGAAGTAAACTCTAGATGTCGGCTGACGGCTCATCGAGTTCAGTAACGATCTTGGTTTCTGAGTGTTCGCTGGGGTCTCAGAACAGCAAAAGTCTTCCCCTGAACCTAATCACCTTACCTTATTTTGGCTCAACAGAGTGAGGATTAATATATTTCTATTTTATCTCAACATAGCTTATGGATTTATAATTTTCCGTTTTTACTCATCGGAGCTTTACAGATTTATAATTCTTTGGTTCAGCTCATTGGAGCAAAGGAATTACAACACGATTGGACTGTTTTGTCCCATGGATCAACAATCAACAGTAACACCTTTCAACTGACAAGTGGACTTTTGACTACTGACTTTGTTATGTAACCAAATAATCACTGGATTTCTGCTATAACGCTGTTCCCCTGCAAATCATTAATTAAAGCAAAGCATAAAATGTAAGATTGTAGACTATCATTTCATCACTTCGTGCTCATAGATTTGAGAAGCTTGGTTCAATTCTAACAAAAAGGGAGGTTTTTAAAGGTTTCTTAGCTCTGATTAAACAACACCCTGGAATCTTATGCCTAGATTCTAAAAACTACCAGATCAGTAACAATAGCAGTTCTACGACCGAAGGTCATCTGGACAGTTTCTTTAAAGAAACTGTCCAGATTTCTTTAAAGAAACTGTCCAGATGACCTGACTGAAAAATGTTGGATTGTATACCTGGATTATTGAGCATGGACTTTGTCAGTTGATTTAGAGTTCCTACAGCGTGGACCAAACCTTCACACCGACTCGGAAGCTTTGCCATGGCCAAAATTGCTGCTGATGTCTCCTTCAAAAGTCGATAAAACAGAGCCCCACCAATGCCAAAAAGCTGAGTTCCTGCTATCATAATTCCAAATATGTAAACGTCTTCAACATCCTCCTGAGACAGGACTGAGACACACACACACACACACACACACACACACACACACACACACACACACA